TCAGGGGCGGAAAAATGGCCACGGACCACGTGGAACGGGCAGAAAAATGGCAGTGGACCATGTGGAACGGGCGGAAAATGGCCGCGGACCATGTGTCAGGGGCGGAAAAATGGCCACGGACCACGTGGAACGGGCAGAAAAATGGCAGTGGACCATGTGGAACGGGCGGAAAATGGCCGCGGACCATGTGTCAGGGGCGGAAAAATGGCCACGGACCACGTGGAACGGGCAGAAAAATGGCAGTGGACCATGTGGAACGGGCGGAAAATGGCCACGGACCATGTGGAACAAGCAGAAAAATGGCCGCGGACCACGTGGAACGGGCGGAAAATGGCCGCAGACCACGTGGCACGGGCGGAAAATGGCCGCGGACCACGTGGCACGGGCGGAAAAATGGCTGCGGACCACGTGGTACGGGCGGAAAATGGCTCATAAGTCGAGGCGGGTTTGTAAGTAGAGGTAAATTTTTGGGGCCGGAGCTGATCGTTTCTTGAAAATTTCATAAGTAGGGGCGTTCGTAAGTAGAGGTACCAATGTACTTGAAGGCAGCTCAATAAGAATGTTCTCAAGAAAAGGCCTATAGTTCAGGTGACTGCTCTGATCCTCAAGATAATGCTGTAGTAATGAGGCAAATAATTACATTGCTGTTGAACAGTGCAATGGATGAGAGAGGCCTAAAAAGTTCAACATTATGAGAGGTCTCTGCAGGCTTACAAAAACTCTTATGTATGATACACAAAGACCATAAAGAACCCATTGGTGCTCTTGCTGGATGGAACAACAAGGCAAGAGACCGAAAGAATAAGGCTGCATTGCTTATTTCTTCCCCTCATTGATGTTCTGTGCTCCATCTGCTTCCAGTCTGTTCAGTTCCTCCATTTTCCACACACTGCCATATCTGTGCCAGTGTAAATGTGGACATCACATTTCAACTGATATTTTCTTACTGTAAACCTAACCTTTTCCAGTAGCAATATACACACCAAGAATCACTTTCTATTTTGGGGGGGGGGCAGAAGGAATATATCTTTTTTAAAAAGAGGATTAACAACTCTGCAAATTAAGTAGAGGTCTGGATAGCAAACCCACTTAAACATCCTAGTTCTGAAATAGTGAAGGATTTAGAATTCCCAGAAATCCATCAAGTGCCTTTGGAATAAACTATAATTCAGTGCCTATTTTTCTCTCCAAGTTGTTCAAGTATAATTAATGAACAATAATCCATAATTAATTATCCCTCCAGCTAATCCATTTTCTGTAAAAGTGCTCCATATTAATTCATCCTAAATATCCTTAGGTGCATCCTTCCTCAGAGAACTGAAATTTATGAACCAAAGCCACCACTGATAGAATAGCAGCTTTCAAACAGCACTCATGGCAGCACACGCTTCTTATTGCAGACATTTCCAATACAGGTAGTCCTCAACCTACAACCATTCGGTCAGTGACTGCTCCAAGATATGACGGCACTAAACAAATGGTGGTTACGACCAGTCCTCAGAATTCTGGCTATTCCAGCACCCCTACAGTCGCATGATTGCCATTTGCAATCTTTCCTGCCAGCTTCCCCAGAAAGTCAATCAGGAAGCTGGCACGGAAGGTCACAAATTGTTGGAGTGTCTCCCACCAGTGCACACTCCTCCAGCCCCTCTGCACTTGCACTGCGCCAGCCACTTATACACCACCGTGTACCCTCCCTGACCCACCCCCCACCCCCTCCCTGACCCACGCCCCTTGCACCCCCTTGCACTCTCACACACTGTCCCTGACCCTCCATCATACCCTGGCGCACCCTTCCTGTGCCATGCCGTGCTTCTTGCACATCCTCCCCAACCCTCCCCCGTGGCCCCTTGCTCCATTCCCCACCTGCCAGCAGCCACTTACCTGCCTGCCGCCTGGGACTTGAAACTTCCTGCTGGCTTCCCCACTGACTTTGGTTGTGGGAAGCCGGCAAGAAGTTATCTTGCCTAATGACTGTGGGATTCGGTCAATGATGGCAACCAGGACTGCAGGGATTGCCATTGATAAGCAATGCAGTTGTGCTTTACAACCGCATTGCTTAGGGACAGAAATTCCAGTCCCAATTGCTGTCATAAATCAAGGACTACCTGTAAAGAATACTAGCTCTCGTGTGGCTAATCAAACTGCATTTCAATCCTTTAATGTGAAAAACTTATTTTCTGAATTCAGAAGAATCAGTTACCTGGTGAGATTTGTAGAAAAACATGCAGAAGTTGGTGAATACCACCCAGAGTTTCTGCCACCCATTGCTGTTTTTGAACTTTCTCAGAAGGTTTCCAGAGAGTTGGTTCTGAAAAAAGGAGGGAAATAGTACAACAAACAAAATAAAATACATGGAGATGGTAAAACACACTTATGGAAAGCAGGCAAGCCTCATGTAGAATAGCATTTTTTAAAACCTAAATTGGAGGAGTTTATTTTTGTCTGTTGAGAATGGTAATAAATTGTACTGCACGTTTCTGAATTTAATGCATTATTTCATTAAACAAGGTCTGCTTGTAAGTTGATTCTATCAAGAAATAAATTATCGACTGTTACCTTATTAGATTCCCCACTCAAAATGAACTGGTGTTGGCACCCATGCAATTTTCTTGAGAAAGTTACAGAAATGTTTTGCCATTGCCTTCTTCCAGAACAGTCTCTTGGCTTCCCAGCCTATGTTCTAGCCCTGGAATTCCTGGCAGGCCCCCCATCCAAGTACTCACCAGAGCTAGCCCTGCTTAGCTCCTGAGATCAGCCAAAATCAGTTAAGTGCACCCACTTGCTGAAGCACATTAAATGCAGGAGTATTTATTTTTAAGGGAGTGTGGGTAGAAGGCAATTTTACAGTGATTCTAAATTACAAATCTTTGGGGGGGGGGGAGATTTATAAAGAATATTTCACATAACACCACTATTTAGAAGTGACCAGAAAAATGAATGCATTTCCCTTAAGTCATGTTTAGAAAGCTAGTTTAGTCACAATAACTTAGGTCCCACTGATTTTAACAGGTCAAATGTAGGTAGATTATAAACCTACATAAATGAGAGGCTTTGTCTTGCATGAAGTATTTGAAAACTGTTTTTGGAGAAACAAAGTTAGTTTGAGGTGCTTTGGATTAAAAGTGCACCTATCGTATCTTTGGAGGAAGCTAGATGCTAAATATCGAATGTATCCAGTGATTATGGCAAAGGGGAGATAAACACACATTTTAGCTTAAAATAATCAGTCTTGCTGTATCTTTACTCTCAGTGGAAAAGTTTTATTATTCTTTTTGTTCTGCTTGACGTTTAGCAGCATAATGAGTTAGGCTCTTATGAAAACAGCTAAACAGAAATGCTACTGCCTTCTAAATTGTCAACAGGGCCAGCAGGCATTTTACTGCATTTTCAAAGTTTTAATTTTGACCCATTCCAGTTTCAAAAAACCAGACAGAATGTGTGCATACTGGGGTACAATGACACACATGTAGTCCTAATTCTCTACTTTCGATTTTGGTTACCTCATCATTCTGAAGGATATCATAAAAGGACAGGCTTTGCATTCGGTACCAGCAGACATATGAAATGGAAACAGGCCGCTGATCACTGATCAGTCCAACAGGTGGGGAAGGACAGTCACTGACAGTGAGAGGGTCTTCTACCACAAGAAAAAGAGAAAGAAGGAGGGAAAGAAGGAAAGACACAGAGAGAAAGCATAAACTATAATGCTGATGTGACATTACACACAGAATTAGGAAAGTATGCCTGTAACTTGCCGGTCATGGGAAAAGCTGTGGAACTAAAGACAGGTGTGTAAGTGCACATGGATCTGCTTCTAGGTTGTGTAAGAGTTTGTTCTGATTAAACTCCGAGCATTACAATGGTTCTGATTGAACATGGAACACCGACTCTCAGAAGTAAGACCCAGTGTATTTGAAGGGAATTACAACCAAGTGTGTCTGAATCCAAAGGAAAGATTTAGTTCTTTAAAATATTTAATTTTAAAGCTATAGAACCTTTTATTTGATTCTATAAAGCTAAGGCATGTATCTCCAATGTGTTCCTCATTACTCAATGTGACCAAAGCAACCTAGAGGCATTCCTTTGGAAATGGGTGTCTGCAGGTACCTTAAAGAAGCTAAACCAATTTATAATTTAAATGAAATTCCATGTTATTGTTTCATCTAGATCCAATTTTACTGAAAACATATGTGCTTCACAAGAATGGTTTCCTTCTACTTTCAACAGTGTTGAATGGAGTCTTACTTTATGAAGAAGAACTAAAAGCAGAACAGTAATTATTATCTCCACAAATATCCCATTTATTTTGGTGAAATTAAGCATTGAAGTTCCACATAAAAGCTGACATGAGTTGATATGAAAATGCAATACTCTTCCATGCAAGTTTCATTGATTTGGGATGAGAGTGTTTTAGATTCAATACCTCATTAATCTGTGTCAAATTGGTTTAGCTACAGTCAAAATGTATCTTTAAAAACACACACACAGATTTCCTGTGATAGAGAAAACATGAGAGAGGCAGATGAGGCTGAGAAGAGAACATTGTAAGATTCCAGAGAAAAATAGACAGCTGAAAATAAAACAAGGTGCATAGAAATGCAAATTTCAGACTGCAGCGGATAGACAGACTTATTGTCCTTTCCAAATACACTGAGAATTAAAAAAAAAAAAATGCTCAGAAGAAACCCTCTTGATCTCAACATGTGAAAATTAATTTAGAAGCATGAAAGGTGTCACACGGAAATCAAAATTATTCATAAATTGCCTGAATGTCTGTTAAAATTGTGCCTTTCGAATGGAGTTAATAGTTTCCAATTAACCAAGAGGGCAATGATTGGAAAGGAAACCGTCTCTGAGGAAGACTGCTCTCTCGAGCTGCAGTCCAAGTCATTTTGAGGCAGATACCTCCACCGCAATACTAAAGTCGACCATAGAAACACTGGTATTTCTGTGCCAGCAGACGTGCACCGTAGTGTTGCCACGGTGAGGAGCCTGACGTTCAAGCGAGGTGCGGGATGCATTGAGATCATCTTCCGACTCCTGGTCTACAGAGGATTCTTCGGGGGACTCTATGAAATGCAGGGAAAAAGCATCTCTTTTTTTCCCCTTGTATCAAATATGGAGTATGAAAACATAAGCAAAGACTATGCCTGATACAGGTGGGTGTGTAGGGGAAAGAAAATATGAAAGGAGGAAGATTTGTTTCCCCCAGGGAAAATAAGAAATTAAAGGATAATTGATGAATTAACAATCCAGCATGGGACTGTGCACAGGAACATTATTATTAATTGCAGCTTGGGCCCAGGCAATTCTGTGCTGTAAATAGAGTGACTTAGAATACACTTCACTGAAACATGAATGATTCTGAAAGTCACGGCTTTGGACACAGAAGACATTCTTTCATTTCAGTACTAATTCATTTACTATTTTGCTTATTATTCTATTTATTACTGTCGAACACATTTCTAAAATTCTTAGAAGGGAATAAAATTTAGGGTTTGATACCCACAGACCAACGGCCATGTAATATATCTGAACTGAAATCAGATAAGGTAAGACCATACTGAGAATCCTTGTTTTTAAAGGGGGGGGTCCTGCAAAATTTATGTATAATGATGCTTTGGAGCTGTAGGATTCATCCCACGTTTCCTTGCTCTGGACTTACTTGTGTCAGGTGGGCTATTTCCAAGGAATTCAGCAGCAGGATCATTACAGTTCTCTGCTAAGTCAATTGCCATCTGTATGTCCTCAGTCCACTTATCCATTTCAATGCGGCTACTAGGAAAATAATGGAAGTTTATTTAGTATTTATTTACAGGACTTATATGACTGCCTATCTCATATTTCATGATTCTAGGCGGCTCACAACAATCCATAAAAACAAAGATAAAAACAGAAGGACCCTTCCCCTTCCAAGTGCCAGACCAAACAGCCTCCCAGCTCAACCCCCACCCTAGCCCAATGCTTGGGGAAAAGTCAGGTCTTCTTCACAGCTCTCTGGAAGGCTAAAAGAGTAGTTCTTGTTTATTTCATTGCGAACAGTAGTGAGCTTCACAGGTTGGGCAAAATTAAGCCAGATCTTGCTTTCAGACTATTTTGGGGGGCCCCACCTATCTAACCAGGCAAGAAAGTATACTATCACCTCCTGCACCACAATCTTTACAATATATTAGCTAATGCTTGTTCATTGCAAAGGATAATTACAAATGCATTCAGAATTACCATTGTAACCAGCTACCTAAAACAATCCAAAGCATTTTTTCTGTAGCATATGCATCATCGTCTCACATCCCTACGTAGGTGTCCTAAATGCATATGGTTCAAGGTAATTACCTCGCAGCAACGACAATGGACTGGTGTTGACCTCTCAGTGTAAAGCAATGGGGAACCCCCCATTCTTCTTCACTCTCTTCAATCTGAGAAAATGAAAATATAGATACCCTCACCCCACTGGAAAAGAAATTTTCAAGCCCATGTAGACAATAATTTACAAAAATTCAAGCTACAGCAGCCAGATCGTTCTTCACTAAGAAAACAAACAATTGGATTTTTTTTTCCCTTGACAACCCTACTGTAATACTACGGAAATTCTGGAAATAAACAATAATAGCTATTTAAAGCTATGCTGCTCCAAGGTTACTAGCCATTCCTGGTAATATGCAAATAGGATAAAATGCAAAACTCTTTAGGACTGGCAAAACTCATAGCTGCAGACACTACTCTAGTTAGATCTGGAGCATGTCCATATACACTAAAAGCCACAATTAAAAATAAAGCAATCAAAGGGAGAATATGGGCATCAGAATCATATACACTACCCCCTTGGCACACAGGCCAACTTCAGGGTTGAAATACAGGCAGCTGTTTTGTTTTCTATGGGAGATGTCAAATTAAGGGCGAGTTTTCTGAAAATTTTTAAAGTGTGCATTTCTCATAAATGCCGTAGCTTGGCAGTTGGCACAGAAGAATCCGTGGGTCATACAGGCCTGCTGCCATTTTTATGTGTTGCAACAACCCACCAAGTTTTCTCCCTCTAGCAAAGAAAATGCAGCCGACGGCAGCAACAGAATGATGATCTCCACCCTTTTATTGTTCTTCTTCATTGCATGGAAGATCACTTATCCCCTCCAACAAGGGAGATCGAAAATCACCATGCCTTCCAGCAATGCCACAATGAGTTTCCTCCCACTCTACTGGAAGGGAAACATGAATCTTCTGGCTTGTTTTCTGCTAGCAAAGGGGCTGAAAATCACTCTGGCAAATTGACAATTTCATTTCCCTTCGCATCTCCATTTGTGTGCAAACGTTATGCATCCCTCTGTGCATTTATCCCCGTGCATTTTCTTCTGAATAAGTTTGTATTTATAGGAGGTGACGTTTGGGCGTACACACTCAAGAGCAAACTTTCACATATTCCCTCGTGTGCAAGTCTCCAAAGGACTGATCTAGAACCTGATGGATGCTCAGATCTGAAAAGATTATCGAGAGCTGCTCTATGGAGCAAGATCCCCCCACCAACAATTCCTGCAGTTTGAAAGGATGGCTATGATTGAAGTTATATCCACTAAGTTTTCAAACTTTCCATTTTTTTCCAGATGTATATATTCATTCAAATTTCTCATGAGTCTAGTTGGAAAATACTTGACGAGGCTTAACTTTCTAAACAGCAGATATGAACCATAGCCTTTTACATTTTGAGAGATTCAACAGTAACCAATCCACAGTCTCAACTCAGCACATACTCACCATCATACCATACAGTGGAAGCTGCCCATGAACCTTAAACTGATTTGATGCTGTTAGGCCTCTGCTTGTGTACAGCAATATATCATTGAACTGAAACAGAACAGGCAAGAATACAATTTGTTTCACGGGGCTACAGTCAGGACAAAGGGAACAAGATTCCTGAATATGTCTAATATTCTATATGTGACCCAATGTACACTGATCATAGGCATACCATTTAGATCCAATGAACATATTATAATTTTTGCAGGATAACATGCATGAGCTTGGGGCTGTTATCCCAGTATATCTACGTTAAACCAGAGGATCAATCATATGAACCAGCCCTTAACAACGTGGGAGAAAACCACATCCATTCAATCATTTCTAGTAGTGGGGTGTTTTTCCATCCCTTGTCTACAATAACCCAACTGTTTCTCACTTTCTGCCAAAACCATTTAAAACTTATCTTCACCATTGTTCACTAGAGATGTAAGAGCTTTTCCCCAAAAGAAGTGTAATATATGCCAGTATTTTAGCAGCTAGCTTTGTTTCCTTGAGATAGAATATGCAGACCCTTCTGTTGCATTTGAGATCCAAGTTGACTGACAAAGAATGAGCGCATTTCCTCATACTGCTTTTAACAGGGAGTCAGGATTTAGTGGCCGAATTCAGACAGTGCCTGGTTTGGCTCTTGGGAAGATTCAGACTCATTTTTCTGCTTTCTGCACTGTATTCAGATTTTTTCCCTATATAGGACAAATACTTTCATGTTATATTCCAACGAGCTGCCTTCTGATCAGGAGTCATGGTAGATCTATTAAGGCGTTTTCTTTGCTATGTGATAATGCTTTATGCTTTATATACCAGCTCTGTCCTATGGGCAAGCTAATAAAAAAGTGTTATGATCTAATAACTCTCTAGACTAAATTGCCAAAATAAGATGTATCATAGGACTGTGTGTAGTGTAATGCAGATCTGCACATCTTATCGCAAAACGCTTTCAAGATAGTGATCCAAGTTAAAGTTTCTGTATTAAGTTAATTCTAGATGCATCATTTTCTGAAATCTATATATTGGGCTGCATATATTTCATAATTCTCAGGAAGAACAGAAAAAATGCAGAATACGTGAATGTAGAATTTGATTTCTTAGGAATCACACTACATTTATTCCATAAATTGTTTGTTTATTTAACATTTGGCCGAGCTTCCTTCCTTTATGGAGAACAGAAAACACAGATCTCTTCTTAGATTATTCCACAATTTGCATCTCACTGCTTCTGTAAAATTCCTCCCCCTTCCTTGTCTCTTGGTATTTGTGGCACAATTGTATTTAATTGCACACATTCTAAGCAGTTCTTGCCACTTACCAAGAAGAACATCCGTTGCTGTAAGCCTTTCCCAGACAGCTTGCTGAGACTACCCAACCTAATAAATTCCTGTGGAGGAATAAACACAAAACATGAAACATCAAAATCTCTGGCTGAAAGTCTAGGGGTAATTAATAAGGCTGGGCAGCATTTGAGATTCAGTTCCAAATATATAGCACCCGTCTGCTAACAATTACAGCATCCATGCCTTTTCTCAGGATCCTGCAGCTGCCCAGTAATCCTGGAAAAAGACACACTCTTTAAAGAGTTTTAGACAGGTACTATGTTCATGCCACTATGTTTTCCAAAACATATTTTTGGAACTGAATACAAACCCTACCCAGCTCCACTCATTAATGCTGCAAATCACCAAGGTCATTAAGTGAATCATGTGGTTGTTAAGCAAATTCCGGCAAAAAACGTCCATTGGAGAACCTGGATTCATTTAACAACTATGTGATTTGCTTAACAACCATGTGATTCGCTTAGTGACCATTGTAAAAATAGTTGTAAAATTGGGTCTGGTCATGTGGTGACTCGCTTAATGATTGCCCCACTTAATGACCAATTTTCTGGTCCCTATTGTGGTCGTTAAGTGAGGACTACCTGTACTTTATTTCAGCCCAATAAGGTAAACCAGACTAAGAAACCAATGCCATATAGGTCAGGATGGCTTTTATTGTAACAGCTACAGTCCAATTCCAGGTCCAATTCAAGGTGTTGGTTATCACCTTTAAAGCCCTACATGGCATGGGTCCAGGTTACCTAAGGGACCGCCTCTCCCCTATGACTTCAACCCGTCCCATCCAATCACACAGAGAGGGCATGCTTCGCACCCCCTCAGTGAAAGAACTTCGATTAGCGGGGTCCAGAAGGTGGGCCTTCTCTGCGGTAGCCCCCGCTCTTTGGAACATTCTGCCCCTGGAGGTGCGATTGGCCCCCTCACTCCTGGCCTTCCGTAAGGGTTTGAAGACCTGGTTCTGCCACTTGGCCT